TTGTGATTGGCGAACAGCTTAGATGGTGTTTCAGTACTGCCCCGCCCCTTGCCAAAGCAGCAAGTTCCGTCTGCTTTAAGGATGGCAAGGATGGCGTCAATATTGCCATATCAATTTGAGCCGGATTCAGACCCAGAGAATATTGATCGCGCAGAACGCGCAGACCTTTGCACGCACGGATATTGCAAGACATATTACAGTGGCAACGTTATTGTTTTTTTTGGCTAAATCACGTTTTAGATAGGATGTCAACAACCGCTTAAAAATAATTGCATTTACTATGTACAGATAAGTGCATATGTATTATTTTTATTGTTATTTAATTCTAACATTATAACATGAATTGCAGTGAAACTGTTATACAGTTGAATTTATTTATACCATAGTCCAGTGTTTCCCAGGCGGCATATATATGCAAACTCATTCTCTGCCAGCAGGAGGCACTGTTGGAGTGGTAGAGATCAAGGTTTCCCCGGTAACGGCTGTACACAAAGCAGCGCTCCGCTAAAAAAAAACACTGCTTTATCAGACATTACATGCAAGATTAAATGAAAATGACATCCAATTTTTCTACAGTGATATAAAAACACCCGCACTCAATGTATGGGAAACACTGTATAATTGAAGTGTAAATTCTGCAGATTACATCATTGTCCAGTATTGTACTGTCAGCAATTTATTATAAAAACGTTTTCATAATTGTAACATGCATATTTACATACATAATTATTCAGGTGCATGTGTAATAATTTGCGAAAACTTGAGGCTACAGCAGAACTTCTTCTTCGTTGTCATCTTGTCTGATGCACTCAACCAAGTGTTCTAAGTAACGACGACCTCACCCCTCCCCACCCCAACCAATCGAATTTCCGTAGGGGGAAATTATTTTAATGATATTCTAATTTTGTGATATGTGATATCACAAAACCCGGAAAACAAACGCTGTAGTCCAAACGAGCCGTTCGTTGTAGTTCTTGAAAAGGGATTTTTTAAAAACGAAACATCTCCCTTTGGAGTGGACTTTGAGATTTGTAACTTTCTTTTTTATGCCCAAACATAAACACTACACACTGACTAAAATTCAAAAAGTGAAAAAGCATAATAGGACCCCTTTAATGCTTGTGTTTATACCAGCCTCTCCGTGGCACGTTCCAGAAGCGACTCTCCACGCTGCTTTGCTAAAGATACACGCCTACTGTATGTCTCCTTCGATTAAAAATAATGGCTAGTGCGGTGGCTTTGATATATGTAAACCTACCAACATCCGTTGTCATGACTTCATGCGAGAGTAAAAAATTACGCTTTAGTTGCATAACATCGGTTAGGCTATTGGAAACTCCATCATTTTGCAATAGTTTTTTTAATCGACATTTATACAGTAAATATTGCAAACGTTTTGTGCAAATCTGTAATGGAAATGCAGCTAATGCCTGCACTCTATTGGTCAAACTACTTTTCACTCATTACCTTCAGCAACTATGGAAAAAAAAAGGCAAACAAAGCCAAAACCCAGACATTTTAGGTAATTTAGAAATCCCAACCAACTAAGGCATGTCCAGAAAAAGAGGTTTTATAGGCACCCTAAACATAGTATAGATCATAAAATACAAACCTTTATGTCCAAAATGCAGAAAAATGGATGAAGTGTAAAATTTCAGCTGCAAAGCAACACTGGCTAAAAAGGGAAAGTGACTGTTTTGTCAACTAGCCTGAAACTCTAATACTTTTTTATTGCTTTTGTTGTAAGGCACACACATACATGCGAACACAATACATGTCTGGTACACCTCTGCTCACCCAGTAATAAATGCGATCATGTTCCAGCACAAATTCCAATTGATATTTTCACGCTGACAAATTGTAAGCAACTCAACGTAAACAACAGCCTCCCTATATACTCAAAAGAGCCCTAATCACTATGGTGACAGTCCAGCCTAAATCATTAACAACCAATCAGAGGTCTGTTTTGGTGGGATAAAGCATTGGAGGTTGTCATAGCTACAGTCTGGTGCTTGAAATGATAAGGACAAGTGGATGGAGGGAGAATAGAGCAAGAACATTGGGAACTGATTGAATAATTTGGCTTCGATTGTTGTTTTTGCTGATGCATGTGTGTTTCATTGAAACACCTACAGACACGCTCATAAAACACAAAAGCTGGCAGTTTTGATTTTTTGCTTACTGCCAGGTGAATACATCTGTTCTCTCTCCTTTCTTCATCCTTCCTCCCACTTCTTTTAATCTGTGCTCCTCTTCCTGTCCACCTTCACTTCTTACGCCTGCAATATAACAAAGAGTGAAAAATTTAAGGGGGTCTGAATACTTTCCGTACCCACTGTACATTGCATCGCCCCCCGTGCCTGCAATGCTGCACTGACTTGAACCCGCAGCTATCAGTATGCAAGTGAATGAGTTCAAAACCTTGTTGAATCTCTCCATGGTCAAAAGAACTTCAATAATTGTAGGGCTGTTTAACCTCTAGCCACTTTCGAGTCTATTACAATCCATTATATACAATGCGCACACACACATTTCAGACTGTACAATATTTCAGTATCTTACCTCATCTATTGAACCGTTCTCCACTCTGAATCGCCCAGCTCTCTGTATGGCCCCGTCTGCATCACTGGAGATGAGCTGAGGAGAAAGACAAGATATGCCATGAATCTGAGACCACCTGCGTCATGTGGAAGACATTACAGAGTACAGCTAAACAATAGGGTCCAAAAGTCTAGTAAAATGCATTTCTCTAAATTATTATTGCTAATTATAGTATCAGCATAAAAATTTGAGAAACTGTCCTGGAATTGTACTTTTTTAAATATCTCATTCTAATATGCTTACTAGTGTTCATAAGTTTGGGGTCAGTAAGATTTTGTTTTATTTTTTATTATCTTTTTTTTTTCAGCAAGGATGCATTACACTGATCAAAGTAAAGACAGTAAAGACTTTTACATCTGTTACAAAAGATTTCTATTACAAATAAATGCTGTTCTTTTGTATCAGTGTTTTCACAAAAATATTAAGCAGCATAACTGTTTTCTATATTGATAATAATAAGAAATGTTTATCAGTATATTACACTGATTTCTGAAGGATAATTTGACACTGAAGGCGAGAGTAATGAATGCTGAAAAGTCAGCTTTGCCATCACAGGGATAAATTACTATAAATTACATTTTTAAATATATTAAAATAAAAAGGAAACAAAAAAAAAACAATATTACTATATATTTTTTTATTAAATAAATACAGCATTGGTGAGACATCTTTCAAAAACTTAAAAAAAAAAAAAAATCCCAACCAACACGATCTACCAAGAGCAGTGCAAACTGGTGTAGAGCTGAAAATCGGGTGTAATCTACTAAAAACAGAGGCACAAGATGGGTTAAGACATACTTTTCTGGTGTGTTAAATAATGGACAAATATTAGTAAATTTACAACCTCGAACCTTAGTAAATAACCTTCCTAAATATTCCTCTTCCATAAATTTTGCACTCGGATATGCATAAGGTTAGCTGCAAAAATTACTGTCCACACCTTTCATTACTAATGTTTCACTGTTTCTTTATTTTTTAATGCCAAACAATGGTTTGCACTGATGCAAACTCTTTTAAAATCTGGCTGTAGCGTCTGGACCAATCAGACACACAATTTTTCATTTGATCATGCAGATTTATGCTACAAGCTCTTTGTAGAGTTGTACAGTAAGAAAGTTATTTCCCTTAACCAGGAAATTAACGTTCTTAGAATTGACAAGACAGTTGACCCTGAGAGGTCAAGTAAATATCTACAGCGGATCTAAATATTTATAATTAATTATAACTAGTTATGATTAATTATTCATATTTCCCCATGAGCTGATTCGCTACAGGCCCATGATGTTTTATTTGATCATAAACTGACATAAAACAAACAAAAAAAAACACACAACTTCTTAAACCACTGGCTGATGTGTAGTGCTAGAATAATCCACTTATTCCATTTTCGCTTAAAATAAATGTCATTCCCTGCTTTGTTTGATTTAATTAGCCATCTCAAACATTTTGACACTGATAACTGCATCTATTGTGCACATAGTTTCTTTACGTTTTTCAAAATCCTAAAATTAAAATGGATTTTTAATAACTTTTTTTTGGTGAACTTCTGGGCCCCACTGCCTTTCTCTCTCACTCTCTTTTTCACCCTCTTTGGATGAATCTCTTTATTAAACTGTCTTCAGTTCTTATTTTTAAACAAATGGTTAAGCCACAATCTAAGAGGTCTGAGCATAGTTGCCAAGTTCGCGTATTATACGCGACTTTGGGCTTCTTTTTTTTGTAAAGTTGCGTGAAAAAATCCCAGGTCTTTAGTAGTCCTATACTAATACTAAGAGTAAATATGGTTCGAATAGCCTATATTTTAGTAGGCTATAAATATGTGGCTATGTTACAGCTCCCCTTTGAAGCTCTTGTGTTTTTCTCCTTTTCCATCTCTCCAATCCTATTCTGCACACAGGTGATTGGAGATGAGTTTTGTTCCCATTTTTGTTGCAGTTTGCTGATTTTTTGTAAAATAGCTTCTGTTTTTGCTTTTCAGATAAAAGAGTGGTTTCAGTTTAATATGTTGCAGGCTCATTTATTGGTAATAAATAATTGATAATAAATAATATTGATGATAATAAATCATAAAAAAATTGGGCTTGTTTTTGAAGCAGTGGTTGCTTATTTGTCTTGCGAGAATTGGCAACAGTGGGTCTGAGAGTGCTGTAGAGGTGCTCATAAAAAGACACAAGAAAGACAAGGCAGCATATAGCTAGTCTGCTCAACACAGATACACACAGATGACTTTGTTTAGATGAAAACCCTTCAATATGAATGCAAAAGCAGCTGCACACACAATCACAGGCTAATTACAGCCAAGTGATCCCTGTGTGTCTGATCTGTGTGCAGCATTGATCACTTCTGTGCACACTCACTCACTCACACACACGTCTGTTTGTTTTAGCACGTATTTGTAAGAGAAGTAGTCTCAGTGAAAGTCTATCTGCACAGATATTGTGTGTGTGTGTATGTGGGACAATCACTTGAACCTGACACGATGTAATCTGGTCTTTGCAGTGAAATTGCAACATCCCCCCAGATGGAACAATGCTGGTTGCTAGGCAACAGAACACAGAACCTCTCCCATTTCCTTTTTCTTCAGTCACCTTGTTTTCCTCCTCACATTTCTCCCACCTTTCTTCTCCACCTGTTGGCCTGCCTCCCTCTATTTTTCTTCCCTCTTCTCTGTATCTGGCAGACCAAACTGCTAAAAACAGACTGCAGCTAGAGAGAGACTGGCTGTAAGAGTGTGAGATTGTTGTTGTATGTATTTGAGTGTGTGTGTGTGTGTGTGTGTGTGTGTGGCAGATGGTGTGCCTTGGCCTCAGAATGCCAAAAGTCCAGGCAGAACATTCTAGATAGACTCTTGCATTCACACTAATGACTTAATAAGTACTCATTTGGTGTCCTAGTTGAGATAAATCAAGACCAAAGTGGACCAAAGTTGTTCTTTATATTAGTGTATGCTAAGTTGGTATTGGGTGGGTATTGTGGTTAACACTGACATTGTGTAGGGGTCATGAACTTTTTTTATTTTGTACTGTTCTCTGAGGTCCACTTATAATGTTATCAAGATTTATACATCAAAAAGCATCATTTAGAAGTAATAGGCAACTTAAAGCCTGTGCTAATTTACATTAAGTGTACGCTGACTGCAAAAGTGGTAGGTAAATCATTAAAAAGGTTTCGTGGATAAATTTCTTCATGTTCAAAAATGGATGCAGGGGATCAAAACCCTTGAGACAACTTGATATTTGCTCATGACACATGCCTGTGATACACAACATCCCCTCAAATGGACTTACACACCCCAGGAATCTACTTTAAGCACACAGAGACACAATTACGTGTCTCATAAGATTTTTTTATTTTGCCCAGTGACATATTGTGGTGCTATTAAGGTGTTTTGATAAATGCCATCCGGTTAATGATAGTAGGATAATAACAGGACAGTCTACCAAACTCAAGCAAAAGTTCAACACACACACACACCCCAATATCAGAGAAGCATGAGAGAGAGTACAAGAAAGAGAGAGAGCACAAGATAATCAATGCTATTGTGACTGCGATGTAACATTGATCTTTTTTAGAGAGCTTATATATGTGTTCTCATGCCTCACACAATAGAGTGAGAGAGACAGATGAGATGAGGAAAGAATATGGAGAGAGACACAAATGGAAAAAGCAAAGCATTTGAATCTGAGAGAAAAACAAAAGAAAACATTTCCATAATCTAAATCAGTCCACACTGTGGAATGGAGCTTTGAATGAACTGTGAAACACAGAACAGGTTTATACAATGAGACCATCAAACAAAGGCCTGCAATTACCATACATTTATCACAAGAGTCTTTTCAGTTTTTGGAAGGGGCAGGAAATTAATCACTGCAAGTTTTGTGCTATTTTCACTAAAGTAGCAAGATGAATACATCTTCATGAATACATGAATACACATTTGTGCGACTTAATTTAATTGGAAACAGATTAAAATGAAAAGTATAAACCCAGTTTGCCGAACCTGAGTTGGAATATTAACCTAGACTCATTGGAAAAACATGCATCTTCCTACATTTTTGGATAACTTCAAAACCGAACCTATTAACTGCAGAGCAATGCTTAGGCAGTATCATTACTTTGTAGGTTCTTATGTGAGCCTCGCTAACTGTCTCTAGCACTGAGCATAGTCAGGTCTCCTCTCGTTTTAGAGGGTCGTTATGCTGAGACCTCCACTCTTAAGAGCTCCTTATGCTGAGACCTCCACTCTTAAGAGCCCCTCAACTATGGTTGAGTGTTGTTAGGCTTTCTCTCGTTTAAGAGAGTCATTCTGCTGAAGCCTCCACTTTGTGGCTAGCGTCTCATTCCCTGTTCTCAGGGAACCATGGTTACATGCGTAACTTGAGACGTTTCCAGCTGAAATGTCTCAATGGACATTTCATTTCTGAATTGCCACAATATACATTACAAGAAACAATATAATTTCACTTTGAAAGTGTCATGAAAACAATTATGTAATAATTAAGAAGCAATTACGTAATATTTACCCGGCACATTTTTGCAATGAGCCTGTGTTGAGGAATACTTTTATGAAGTATTATATTAAAAGACAGACATGCAGCTATGGATAAATGCCAGAGGAGCTGCTTCATGTGCCCTTTTGGTGAGTGGAGGATCTTTAATTTTAAAGTTTAAGGGGCACAGGTTGTAGCAGTGACATCAAACAAGTGACATTTTGTGCGATTGTATTTTTCTGTGTGTTCTGTGTGTGTGTGTGTTTGTGAGAGACAGAAAGACCTATATGATGGCAGATCTCACTCTTATGTCTTTCTCCAAAACTGTATAAAACACACACAACCAGAATACCAGTGTAGGGGAGTAACTAACTAAAATGCATTGGGCGATGGTTCATATAAATGAACCAATCTACTATGTTTTGACATGGTTATATAAATTAGGGTGTTTTTGATTTATTTAGAATAAATTTACCTGTTAAGATTTGATGCTGTCACCGTCACCCTAATTAAGTTTGTTCATTCATGAATGATTAAACTATGCGA